GTTTTGGCTTTTGCACCGCATTCAACAGGCTTCTGATTCCCCTCAAGGGAATCCAGCTTATCAGAGAAGTCTTTCAGGTATTTTTTGATGGCATTCATCATATGTGCTTTCTCCCACTATCTCTTCTGGAGGCCCTCAGTCTGCACCTTTTTCCCATATTTCCTAAGCATTCAAAGTTGTGTGGCCTTTTCAGATTTCTCCATGACAGCCCGTTTAGTCTGCAGCTACTGTCGAATCTTGTGCATCTGCTGATCTGACCTGGCCATTTATGCAAAATAATTAATAATCGGTGGGTCATTTGGTGGGGACTTGGAGCTAATGAAGTCAGGGTTATACTGCCAGCACTGCAGCTTGGGCCCACTGGTAGAAACTCATTTCCCTCTGGAAGTCACCTTCTGGATTGACACCTTTCTTCTGCTACTTGTTCTGGAGTGTTGGCTGAGTTTCACTGACTTCCGGCATTGGATCCAGGGTCAAGTCAAGCCTTTCCACCCACTCCAGATCCCGTTTGAATTCAGCCAAACACTGCTTCAGACCATTCTCCTCATTTACAGCCTTCTTCGGCCTCTCTAGCACAACACTGAGGCCTGGCTTCGGGAGTTCATGGGAAAAAAACGCATTCTGCAACTCCTGGTCTGAGACCAGGGATGACTCCGATTCCATCAGAGAGCCAAGGAGTGTCCATCTTGAGGACTCCTACCCTGCGGGGTGCGCCTGCTGTTCCACATGCCCTGAAGACACACCAGAGCCAGCAACATCTCCACTCACCTCTTGAAGATTTATTTTATATGTACGAGTATTTAGCCTGCATGTGTGTAAACAGAGACTGCCCCTTCATTCCTGGCCACCCAGACCCAAATAATCACACAGAAACTATATTAATTACAATACTGCTTGGCCAATGGCTCAAGCATATTCCTAGCTAGCTCTTATATCTTAAATTAACCGATTTCTATTAATCTATGTATCAACACCAGGCTGTGGCCTACTGGTAAAGTTGTGGCATCTTTCTCCTTCGGCAGCTACATGACGTTTGCCTGACTCCACCTTCTTACCTCCTCTATCTCTGCTTGGACTTCCCACCTTGCTATATTCTGCCCTGCCATAGGCCTGTAGATTAAGTTCAGTCTCTTAATACTTTTGAGTGGCTTGACACTGGGGCATTTCTCAGTGTGTCATTTGTCCTCTGGGCAGCCCCATCCTGGGCACTCTCCACTAACGCTGCCCGGAACTGCTAGAACTCATTTCTGTTGCCCAGGCCTAAAGGCGTTTGAGATTGCAGCCCTTGCTGGATTGTGTCCACTCTCCCCAGGGTGATTAATTATACAGCTGGGGTCTGTCTTAGTTGCTTTTCTATTGCTGTGAAGACACCATGACCAAGGCAACTTATAAAAGAGTTTATTGGGGGCTTACGGTTTCAGAGCGTTGGTTAGAATTCGTGATAATTTTGGCAAGGAGCATGCCAACAGTCAGACAGGCAAGATGCCAGAGCAGTAGCTGAGAGCTTAGATCTACAAGCGAGAGAGAGAGAGAGAGAGAGAGAGAGAGAGAGAGAGAGAGAGAGAGAGAGATGTTTACTTCCATGAGACCAAGACAGAAGGAACTAGAGGCATTTCCATCAAGTAGGATGTTGAGGACATGAGAGGAGGGAATCTCTTTCTGGGGGTTTTCTTCTCCCCTGAGTGCTCTGTGTCATGTAAGTAACACTTTAAGATAGAAGAAGTTCCAGCGGAAACAAAAACTCACTTCATCATTTAATTCTCTTCTCCGTCTCTGCGGGCCAGAGGGAACTCTGAAGAGAGGAAAAGTAAATCTGCCGGAGGCCACCTGCCTTCCCGAGGCACACACATTCAGTGCTACTGCAGGACACAGAGATCTATCTGCCTGGCTCTTCCAGCGGCAGTGGTACCACCTCAGGGTTTGGCAGAGGTAGCCATTTCCCTTTCACACTTCTGGGCTACTTAGGGTGACGTGGGACAGAGGTGAGGCAGGGAGGGATTACCTGCTATTTCGGATTACAGCAGAAGCTACTCATGGATGCGCAGAAAATGAGGAAATAGACAGTCAGTAAATACTAGGCAGAGTCAGCCGGAACATGGCTGCAGGCTCAGGACCTCACTGTTTTACCCGAGTTCCACTATGATCGGCTCCGAGTGGTCACCTAGAGGTGCAAGAGGCTCGGGGAGCCAACATCTTAGGTACCTTGTGATGTTCAGGCATGATCCCCCGAGGATTTCCTTTTGGCTTAATAAAATACATTCCACTTGCAAAATGCTTTCAAGTTTGCAAAGTACTTTTGCTCCAGTCCCTCCGTTTCAACTCTGGTTTTCACACTCTCCCCCATAGGTAGGGCGGGTGTTAATGTCTCCACGTGTCTCCACACTTAGATTATGGTTTGACTCACAGACTGGAGCCTGGTGCTGAAGTCTTCTGATCTCTTAAGCCCCAGGCACTTTCCCTTGGTTTCCTCAGAGGACTTTCTGCTTCTATCCATGTTTTTCCTCCCACCTAAGGATGGAAGCCCTAAATGGCTTCGAATTCCCATAACTTAGTAATAAATTTGAGACATTCCCTTACTGCCTCTTGCGGGGGGGTGGGGGTGGGAGGGAGTCCCATGAAGAGTCTACTCTGTGTCCCTGGTAAAAGGTCTACCCCCTCAGGCTTCTTCTGAGGCGCTGGGACCCAGAACTTGTTCAATGCCCCATAAGCTTCTTAGAGGAGCCTGGTATTAGCCAGGATTGGATATTCTTCCCCTGACATGCCCTTCATCCTCGACCCTAGGGAGCTGGGGGTAGGAGAATGGGGTGTTCCCCATGGTCCAGCTTCACACCCACTCTTCGAGACCCTGGATTCTGACAAGTTTCCAGAACTTGGAAGGCGCAGATGTCGAAGTCTGAAGGTAAACGGTGTGCTTAGGAAGAGGGCAGCCGGTGTGCCAGCTCGGTTCTCCTCCTCATGCACAGGGGAAGGAGAGGGGCCCTCCAGACTTTCTGTAGGAAGTACATATGGGCTGGCTGCACAGTGCTGAGTTCAAGGTCAGGGGCAGGGTGCTGGAGGGAGACAGGGAAAGGCCGGGGGAACCCAGGACAAAGGAGGAAGCTCGTTTATTCCCACCACTCTGGTGGTTCTGCTTTTATATCGTAGGCTGGCACCTTGGCATTTCCAGTTAGTGTTGTTTACAAAAATGCTGGGTGATAGACTGCAGGTTCACGTCTGGGTCCCTTGGAGTGGTGTGAAGCTACGTGAATCACACCTCTTCTCCTCTCGGGGGGCCTCCCAGGGGGACAGATCCTATGTGTTACTCAGGCCACATCGAATGTATTACTACCTTTCACAAATCCAGGCATTTCTAGTAATTGTTGTACAGTACAGTTGGACACAGTTTAGAGTTTTAATGGGTTTTTGTTGGGTTTGGGTCTCAAGACCCTTTATCAAATAAGGTTTCCATGAGGGTTTTTCCCCCTGCAGCCTCGTATAAAGCTCATAGACTTTGTGTGTTTGGTCTCTCAGAATTCTTGTAACCTCAATGTCATTACTATGTATATTGGCAATATTCTTACAATTAAATTAAATTTAAATGTGCTGGGATATAGTTCAGTTGGTAGAGTGCTTGCCTACCACACATGAAGCTCTGGCTCCATTCCCCCAAATCACACAAAGTTGACATGATGGCATAGGCCTATAGTCTCATGAGAGATGAAGGCAGAAGGAAAAGTTCAAGGTCATCTTTCCCTAAATATTGTGTTCAAAGCCAGTATGGGCTACATTAAACCCTGTCTCAAAAAATTACACTTAAATCAGCAGTGGTGGCACAGGTATTTAATCCCAGCACTTGGGAGGCAGAGGAAGGTGGATCTCTAGGAGTTCAAGGCCAGCCTGGTTTACAGCTGGAGTTCTCAGACAGCCAGAGCTACACAGAGAAACCCTACCTTGAAAAACAAAACAAAGTAAACAAACAAACAAACAAAAATTATGTTTAAAATGTTACAGCATACACATGGTAAAAGACAAACTAGTTGAAAGTATAGTGAAAATTAAGTCTCCCTTTGACCATGGCCCTATTTCCCTTCTGCAGATGTCCTTCCAGAACTCATATACATAGGTCCTGACCGACACATATCCATGTCACAGCTGAGACACTAAGGTCACTTACCCAGGATGACACGGCTGGAAGCGCTGAGAGTCCCGGCCTTTGGCTCCATTTCTCATTTTCCTTCTACCATCCCACATCGTTCTGTAAGAAGCCCCAAGACTTTTAAGCTTTCTCCTCTCTGGATGAGGCAGTAGAAGCATTTTAAGAGTCCCAAACAAGGTGTTAGAGATAGGAGTACTACTGACTGCTCTCCCAGAGGACCTGAGTTCAATTCCTGGCACCCACATAGCAGCTCACAACCATCTGTGACTCCAGTTCCAGGAGATCTGGCATCTTCACACAGATATACATGAAGGCAAAACACCAGTGCACATAAAATAAAAATAAATATAAAAAGCCGGGCGGTGGTGGCACACACCTTTAATCCCAGCACTTGGGAGGCAGAGGCAGGTGGATCTCTATGAGTTCGAGACCAGCCTGGTCTACAAGAGCTAGTTCCAAGACAGGCTCTAAAACCACAGAGAAACCCTGTCTCGAAAACCAAAAATAAATAAATAAATAAATAAATAAATAAATAAATAAATAAATAAAAGAGTCCCAAACAAACCTCAACCCTCGACAGCGAAAACCAGCAGCATGAGCACACAGAGCTGTACTTGACTTACTGTCCACGGTGATGCCATTCACTGCTTTCTCTTGCTATCTGTACGTTAAAGTCATGCCTGCCTAGCTCCTTCTCACCTTGGAGAAGCTGAGGTCTGTGGCCGGGGCCCCAGTTATCAATGTCTGAGTTTGGCTTGGCCCTGAGGAAGTGCAGGGAGTGCAAGAAAGAGATGGGAGAATCCAAAAAGCCCACCTGAGCTCAGGCAAAAGCCTGGACGGCTGGCATGTCCCCAGCGTGAGAATACTCTCTCCTGAGAGCAGGCATTGCACCTGGAATGGAGGTCAGGGGTGGTTCGCTCCTGCAGAACAAGAGCTCCCACCACAAGGCTCTCTGTGGGATACTTTGTGTCCCTGGGACACTTTTCTAGGTGAGAGAGTTCTAGATCCCAGCAGAAGGCAAATAATTTCTTTTGTTCTCTAGGTTTGTGGATACCTCCTGGCTGGGTTTCATGGAGAAATTCTTTTCTGATTACCAACACGGATCCCAGAGCAGCCTCTGCCTCTCTCTGGACAGAATGAAAGGCCAACTGTAACCAGACATAACTGACCATCATGGGGAAACTGATCAGATTGGGGACACAGGAGAGGCGGATATTCCGACGACCAAAGAGGCTTCAGTGGAGTCGCCTCCTTTTCCTCCTGGGAATGTTGATCATTGGTTCCACCTATCAGCACCTGAGGAGACCCCAGAACCCTCTCTCAAGGTGGACAAAAGTCTCTGCCCAGCAGCCTATTAAATTGGCCAGCAGGGATCTCCCTAGTGATGAGATGACAGTGGTGGGCAGTGACCCCCCAGAGGCTAGCTCTGAAGTGGACGGTGAGATGCTAGTACCCCAAAATATAGCAATCAGGGATGAAACAACACCTAGCATAACAATGGAGGATACCCCTAACCCACCCAGAACAACCCAAATCACCCCAGCATCACCAAAGAATAATTATAGCCCTACAGCGGCTGGTACGGAAAGAAGAAAGGAAAACGCTCCACCCACACCTAGCAGAGCATCAAACCACTTCATCTCAACGTCAGGCTATGCCCTAATACCCAGGGGAGAAAGGAGAAACTCCATCCCTACTCACCCCAGGGAAAAGGGAAGGAAGTCTACCTCATCCCCAGGGGGTGCGCCATCTGCTACCACCCCCACAACAACAGAGAAAGACAGCAAAACCATGGCAACCTATAGGCTGTGGGAGACCAGACTACCCAAGAGAACAATGAAAGAAAACACTGCAGTTTCTCCCAAAAGAGTGGTTCTGAACACCCCGACTTCCTTAACACATGAAGTAGAAACAAGCCTCTTGACTTCTCCAAGTTTGGTGGCAGAGAATGCCCTGGGAAGTCCTAGAAGAGAGGAACAAACCAGCTCTATCAGTCCCCAGGGAGCAGTCCCACAGCGCGCCCCAGCCACCTCTGAGGAGCAAGTGACAGTAAGCACCAGGATGGGTAGTACCCCATCAACCACTGAAGCTTCTGCTGCTGCCTGGAGAATTAGTAATCCCTCATCCAGAACCAGTGTGTCAACCATTAGAATCGCCTCAGCCACCAACAGGGAGCTGGCAAAGAGACCTTCCACAGTACGCAGTGCCCCAGTAACTCCCAAAGTCAAGGCAATGCTGACCACACAGGTCCACCGCTGTGTGGTTGTGCAGCCGGCCCCAGCTGTACCCATGGCCTCATCTCCGAGCGTGACAAACATCCTGTTCCCAGAGGCTCCCAGTTCCAGTCCCTCAGCTTTACCCCCTGACTGGCCAAACCTCCACCCCAAGGCCGAGTACCCCCCGGACCTGTTCAGTGTGGAGGATCGGCGACAGGGCTGGGTGGTCCTGCACATCTTCGGCATGATGTACGTGTTTGTGGCCTTGGCCATTGTGTGCGACGAGTACTTTGTCCCAGCCCTGGGAGTCATCACAGACAAGCTGCAGATCTCTGAGGATGTGGCTGGCGCCACATTCATGGCCGCCGGAGGCTCCGCCCCTGAGCTCTTCACCTCTCTCATTGGTGTCTTTATCTCCCACAGCAATGTGGGTATCGGTACCATTGTGGGCTCTGCTGTGTTCAACATCCTTTTTGTCATCGGTACCTGCGCCCTCTTCTCCAGGGAGATCCTCAATCTCACCTGGTGGCCCTTGTTCCGTGATGTCTCCTTCTACATTCTTGACTTGTCCATGCTCATCGTCTTCTTCCTGGATAGCCTCATTGCCTGGTGGGAGAGCCTGCTGCTGCTGCTGGCCTACGCTCTCTACGTGTTCACCATGAAGTGGAACAAGCAGATTGAGCTTTGGGTGAAAGAGCAGCTCAGCAGGAGGCCGGTAGCCAAGGTCATGGCCCTGGGGAGCCTCAACAAGGTAAGGCAGCCTGGCTGCAGCTTTTCCCAGGCCTCTTGGTGTGAAAGGACAGGGGAATTAAGTACCACAGAGTAGAAAGAGCAAGACTGCAAGAGGCAGCTGCTGCACTTCCCTGGCTGTTCATTTGTTCACAGTGTGTCTAAACCCTGCAGTTAGCCCGTGTGGCGGTGACTCTTCCCCAGTCATCCAAGACACTGGTTATGATTGTGATCCTTATTTTCAGAAAAGAAATTGGAGCAGAAAGAAAAGTTAAAGTTTTCATCCAGGGTCACACAGCAGGCAGAGGAGTCAGGGTCTGAACCCAGATTGGCCTGCTCGGGTGTGTGGGAATGACATTTGAGTCAGCTTTGGAGAAAGAAGAGACATTAGGATATCAGGCGGGGGAAATGATCTCATCCGTGCACACAGAGTTCAGGGTTAGGCATGTTCCAGTATGTTTGTTCACAGGTTGGACTGGGAGAAGAGGGTAGCTTAGTGGAGTCTGGGGAGGGAGATTTCCCACTTCACCTTAACGTTGGCTATGAGGATAGCTCTACCCACTGACAAGCCAGCCCTCAGGCATAGCTCTCACTTCACGTCTACTAGAGTCCTGATACCAGACATGCCCTGTGTACACTAGAGTCCTGATACCAGACATGCCCCGTGTACACTAGAGTCCTGATACCAGACATGCCCCGTGTCTACTAGAGTCCTGATACAGACATGCACTGTGTCTACTAGAGTCCTGATACCAGACATGTCCTGTGTCTACTAGAGTCCTGATACCAGACATGCCCTGTGTCTACTAGAGTCCTGATACCAGACATGCCCTGTGTCTACTAGCATCCTGATACCGGATGTGCTGATCCTACAGCTTTTCTGCCCCTGTGAGGGACTTTCCTGTTTAAATTCATTGGATAATTCAGTGACTTGAAAGACAACATCATATTGGGGAGGTTATCTCTGAAAACAAATCCCAAGTGGGACCTCTTTCTTTCCTATTCCTGGAGGGTGAGTTTGGGTACAGATTGGCTCACAGGCTGTCTCCCTGGTCACAGAGAAGCTGTTGGTGGGAGCAGAATTTTGCGTGCAAAGACCATAGGATTTAGCTACTTAATCCCGAGCAGTTTTGGTGAGTGGGCAGGATGTCTACCAGCCTCAGCAACAGGAGGCAAGAGATTAAACTGCTTCCTTTAGAATTTTTGAACTAGCACAGCGTTCTAGTCAGAGCATGAAAACGAGAATCAGACCCCCTGAGTTCTAACCGATGCTCCTGGTTAATTAATGGTGTGGCCTGGACAGGCCTCTTCTCAGCCTTCCCCAGTCTCCAGGGGAAATGACAGTCCAGTTCATCACCAAAGGGCTCTGTCCAGCTCCGACTTTTATGATGTCTGAGTCCAAATGAGTTCAATCCGTCTGAACTGCTCAGCCGTTTACTGTTTGTTCACTCAGGGCACAAAGACGGGGGAAATGCTGCCTCGGGTCACATGGCCCACTGTAGTCAGAACTGGAGAGATGCAGCCCTCTGACCCCCTAATCGCCACAATTTCCTGCCTGGCTGCTGCTCTAAAGCCACAGGCTTAGAGAGAGGGTGACTCCTCGCTGCATAGTTTAAGCCTAGGAAGCGGAGCCTCCCAGGAAAGGATGTGTCCTGGAGCCTTGCTTCTCTGAGGAAATCCCTGGTCAGTGTCAGGGCAGCAGCGTTCTAAGCCCCCCCAACTCGCCTCCTGGTTCTTTGTAGTAATTCTGCTTTCACTGAGACTCAGTCCATTCTGAAATCTCCGCTACACCCGAGCAAGGCCATCAAAGCAAAGCTTGCTACACAAGTGAGCAAAACCCCATGATTTTAAATGAGTTTGTCCAACTCCAGAGGCTGCTCAAGGCCAATAGTAGCAGACCATTGCCAGCCAGTGAACAGGGGTTGGTTTCAACCGTTTCTTACTCTGTGCTGAAGCTAATCCAGTAGGGGTTTAATTGACAGTATTATTAAAGAAAGGTTGAATTACTAACTATATTTGAATGTGAATCCAACAATATTTAAAATTAGAATATATACTCTGGGACTGGCTTTGAATACTGTCCACCATGTAAGAACAAGTAACAAAAGAACTAGAGCTGTTTAAAAATGGATTATATATGGATTTAGAGTTTCATTCTGTGGTGACTTTTAGCTACAGAGAGAATGAGCTACCCTCCTTTGTGTCTGAATTTAACTGGCTAAGACCTGTGATCTCATCAGAGGGATGTAAGCTGTGCTGTGTTTAACTGACAGCCGGAGGACAAGCCCTGGGACTGAGTCCACGCAGGAGTTCTGTGTAAGCTCAGTCTTTGCTCTAGTGGACTAGGCTGGTTTTCAATTTCTGTGGTGCAACGTTAAGTCTGTGCCTGCCCTGCAAAGTAATTTCCCTCACCTAGGAAGTTTTTTGAAAGCAACCTCCCCTTCACCTACCACTCCTTCTCACTGGCCTGTGGCTCTCCTGGATCAATGGATCCCTTAGTTAAACAGGTTGAAGGCAGGGGTCAGAGAAACTGGGCTTCCTTAAGCAGCCGTGGCTCTGAAATAGGGGAAGTAAAAGGCAGGCTGGGAGTCAAGGAGCAGAGCTTGTGAGGTGAAATCCTCTAGGCAAGTGCATCTTGGGAAGTCGGAGTCAGGAAAGGAGAGAAACACACTGGGGGAAAAAGTCCTCTTCCTTCCTCTGAGTGACAGCAATATCAGCTTCGTCATTGTCGCTGAGCAGGGAAGCCATCTATGTCCCAAAGTCTGAGCCCAGAGTCTTAGTCTGTAAGGACTGGCTCAGTCTCTTCTGAAATGCCAACAGTTCAGGAACTCCATTTTACTGAAAGGTAGGAGCCAGGGAGAGAATCCATGTTCGTGAGGAGTCTATTCCATGTACAAGTGTCTCAACAATCTTTTTCTCTCTTTCTTTTTTGATTTTTTTTTTTTTTTTGAGAGAGGGTTTCTCTGTGCCCTGGCTGTCCTAGAATTCGCTGTGTAGACCAAACTGGCCTTGAATTCACAGAGACCCACCTGCTCCTGCCTCCTGAGTGCTGGAATTAAAGGCACGTGCCACCACTGCCTGGCAACAGTTTCTTATTTAACGTTAAAAACTAGACTGTAGGGGCTGGAGTGGCTCAGTGGTTAAGAGCACCGCCTGCTAGTCTAAAGGTCCTGAGTTCAATTCCCACCAATCACATGGTGGCTTACAACCATCTATAATGAGATCTGGTACCCTCTTCTGGCCTGCAGGCAAGCACGTAGGCAGAATACGGTATACTAAATAAATAATAAATAAATAAATAAAATCTCTAAAAAAAAAACAAAAACGAGATTGTAAACCGTATCTTACATATGAGGAGTGAGGGCCACAGAGTGGGCATTTAACCGGCCCAAAGTCACGCATCCAGTCAGTGATACTTAGCGTTTATAGTGAATCACTGTATTTGGGTTTTAATTTAGGTGCCCTGTTAACTATCCGCTGCTCTGTGAGCAAGTCAAGGCAAGTCTATAAGTCATTTATTATGTGAGGAATAAAGTTACCTTCAAGGAAGAGAATCCTGCGCTGGAGCCACAAATCATGTTGCGGTTCATGTAGGCTTTCAGCCGCTGTGATTGGGGCGAGACAGCTCAGGCACTGGCAGACTCTGCTAAGGCCAGGCAGTCAAAGCCTCCTGTTTTGCAAGCTACACAGCCTGGTCACAGTGCAATGCTGTCCCTGGAGCTAGAAAGTAAATAGCCACACAGCTACAGCGAATAAGTGGAAGTGGCCATGTGGTTTTCCTCTCCCTCGAGAAGGCCTTGAACATTCAGTTAATCTAACCTGTGCAGCAGGTTTCTGAGCTGGGCGATCTTTTCATTTTATGAATGTTGCATTCTGTCCGGAGTATCTCAAATCAGAATGAAGGAGTTTCTTGGGGACTGTGATTCCAATAAAAATGCATTTAAGACTGTCTCTAGAAAAAAAATATTTAATATTGGACACACACACACACTCACACACAAACACACCTTTGGTTTTTAAATATTTACATCTATTTATTGCATCTGTGACACGCTTCCACATGCCACAGCACACGTGTGGAGGTCAGGGGAGTTGGTTCTCTATCATGTGGGTCCTAGGGAGCAAATCTCAGGTCATCAGGCTTCTGAGCTATCTCAGCCGCTCGCATACAGTATTTTAGAGTGTCTCTTTCAACGCTAGCTGAACATTTTTCAAAGCTAAAACACCTAAGACAACACTGTCAGATTCACATCAGCTGGTGTAAGGTGCCTTTTATGACCCCAGTAAGGCAATGGTAAATGCTTGCCCGGCTATCAACAATCTCGCTTAGCTCTCTTTGAAACTTTATACTGAGTATTGAAGCTCTCTGTGTATTGTTTCTGGCCCCAGATGACAAATCTCTGGACTTCTTTGTCCATGTATGGTCACAGAGAGCCAAAATTCATCCGAGAACTCACTGGCATCCAAGGATGATGGACCCCCTCATCACATGTGGACTGAGGAGCTTAGCCAGAAGGACCAGCCATGGACAGAAGAGCAGCCCTATGGGGTGCCAATAGCAAACAGGGGCGTAGCGATATGAGTCCTTATGGAAACCCCATCTCTACACTCTGCACCAAAGAATTCCTCAGGATGTAGGTTCTGGGGGAAAGCCTGGCACTTGGCCCTGAATACACTGTGGTCTATTTTCTCCCCAGCAGGAATTTTCTTACTCAACCAGCGAGACTCCACACAGGCAAGCAGACCTACCTACCTGTAGAGCATGTCTTCCTGTTTCTTGTCAGGGTTGATATTTAGTTTGAAGGCTCACATCAGCAGCCTGTATAGCCAGCTGTTTGCTGCGGAGGCTATGGACAAGAAACAGCCATCTTGGCCCTCCCCTCTTCTGTGGGTCCCACCTATGTTAGGCTCCAGAGAAGCCGCTGTGCTGCAGAATAGCTCATCTTGGCTGGGTGAGGCGTGGCCTTCAACTGTTAGCTGGTCGCTGACTTCCTTCCAGTTGTCAGGAAGAGATGTCAGGGC